ACATTCTTACCTGCAAATTTATATATTGCTTTTCATCAGCTCTAAGCTAAAATGCAGCTCAACTCAAAACTTAATTAGACTCAGTAGGAGAGGTAGTAGCTTGTAACAGGGTTTTATTCTTACCGGGTTCTGAAGGCACTTCCAGTGAGTAACAGAACAGTGGACATACGGTAAACATCCATAAACCTGGAATAATTCCACTGGATTTCAGCCCTTAAGTCTCAATGCAATCTGGACACCCATACCAGGCTTCCTTAAACTCTTCAGCCATCTAAAGCAGCCATGTAATAGTAAAACTTGAGCTGGACTAATAATTCAAAGTTAATTTAGCCAGAACATTAATGAGCCACAGTTTCTTCTGCTGCTTGTGTGTAATCTGCTTGATTTTGTGTCCTTTACCACTACTACAAACAATTCTAGCCCACAGCTTTTCACTAAAGCTTTTAAGATCTGAAATTTGAGCAGCACAGATCCTATTGCACAGTTGTGATCGGAGTCCAAGCCATGAAAAATATCGGCCTACAGACCACTACAGACCCTCGTTTGCTTAGGGCTGTGTGGCAGGTTGACCCTGGCTGGCAGCTAAGCCCCTACCCAGTCACTCACTCACTCCTCACCACACAGGATGGGGGAAAGAATCAGAAAGGCAAAAGTGAGAAAAACTTATGGGTCACAATGAAGACAGTTTAATAAGTGAAAGAAAAGGAAAGAAAAAGAAAACAACCCAGTGATGCAAAGGTAGTCACTTACCACCTGCAGACTGATGCCTATAGCAAGTCTCCGAGCAACACCTACTGTGGAAAAACTCCCCCAGTTTTATTGCTGAGTGTGACATTATATGATATGAGATATCTCTTTGGTCAGTTTGGGTCAGCTGTCCCAGCTGTGTTCCCTCCCAACCTCTTGCCCAACCCTAGCCCACTTGCTGGGGCAGGAGAGTAAGAGATGGAGAAGGCCTTGACACTGTGCAAGCATAGCAATAACTAAAACATTGGTGTATGTTATCAACACTGTTTTGGTCACCAGTTTAAAACACAGCACCATACAGGCTGCTGTGAGGAAAATTAACTCCATCTGAACCAGACTCTGTAGAGGCAGATAATAACGGTCCGTGGAGCTAACTCCAGAGACTGCCAGTCCATTGCCAGTCCAGTACTGCTGGTATTGCATGCAACAAAAACTAATACTTGTATTTCTCTCTGTTCAGAACATTCAGACCTCACTAAAAGTCTGGGAGACTGAGGTAGTGAAATGAAGTAAGCTATCCCAAGTAGCTTCTAGAAGCAGAAGAAGGGATTATCCCTTGGGGCAGGTGCTTGTCTTGAACCACAGTCCTTCACTCTTCACCCACCAGCCCCATTTTCCTATTGCATCACTGGACAATCAAAGATCTTTGAATTCAGTTTCCATCTCTTTACTACTACATTACTACATCGGCATGTTGTAAGCTGAGGTTCCAAGCACTGATGCTTTGTATTGTTATCTTATGGTACTGCGCTGGTACAGAGAGAGGATGATCCCAAAATACCTGGAAATCATATAAGCAGCAAGGTAGGGACTGTAAGATTTCCCCAGCCCAACTAAAAGCAGATAGATCTGTTCTCACTGGAACATGGATCTCCTTCAGGACAGAGGGCTAAGATGCTTTTTGGTTTTTTTTTTTTTTGCATAGCCTTGTTTGGCTCTTTCAAAGGCAATAGTAGTTCTAGTCCTGAGTTTCCTGCTCTGAATCTGATTTTCCCAAGGCACAAGAAGCGACTTACCTGGAGATCATAAAGGTTGTCACTAATCTCAACAGCCAGGATTAGAACCCTAATTTCTACTTTATCTTCTGTTCTTTCAAGCCCATGCAAAATGTTACCAAAAAGCATTACTACTAAATGCCATTAGGTCTTAAGAGGTATAGCCATAGGAGCCCATCTAGATACACCTATCAATGTCACATATATCTGTTCACAGCATGAAAATAAATGTCTAGGCAAGTAACAAACACAAAGCAAAAAAGGTTCATCTGTCTCCAGTGTATTTTAGTAAGTGAAATAAACCTAAAGGTATGAGTTGGATCTCAGCAGCAGTTAACCTTTCTTCTGACACGATGCAAGGTCTGTTTGCAGGGACATCAAGCAGAAGATTTGCTAAATGCCATATTGGGGCTAACTCTGGAGACTGCCAGTCCATTGCCTGCTTATATACAAGGCTTCCTAGGAGTCAGGCTGATACCCTCAGGCTTCTCTGAAAACATTGCTGATCCATAAGGCTAACCCCGTTTCTGGCACCACAAAATAAGCTGTAGTCTAAGGGTTACAGCCGATGGATTTGTGAGACACAATCACCAGTTTGCTGAGCGGCTGCTGCTCCTGAAGTCTGTTAGGTACTTGGTGGCTTTTGGGCCTGCAAGAGACTTAGCCGAATGATGCTACTCTCTGGTAGGGGACACCATGCCTGATGTCACCTTCCTCACTGCCTGCCTTCCCCCACCCCCAAACAAGTTCACAGTGATCACCTTAGCACATGTTTTGGAATAGGTGGAGTTTTGTACAGCATTTCAGTTTCATAAAAGGCAAGACAGCTGAAAAGCTGGTCAAAGAGCTTCTTCCCGGAATACATCCCTGCAGGTCCCATGGGTCCATGTGCTTAAGCACACACAGATGTAGTGAGGTAGCTGTTTTTGCTAAGGCAAAGAAGAGCGTTACCTGCTTAGGGAGCTTTGGCTGTCAGCAGAACAGGTATTTTCGGCTTTGGTGGAAAATAATAAAGCTAGATAGGTCTGAGGTTCTGCTCAGAGTTTACCTTCCAGGTGCTGGACTTCAAAACTGATGCCAACCTGTTCAACACTTTGAATTTTCAGAATCGAAGTGCCAGCAGCTGAGCAGTCCCAGGCTGTAGGCACAGTATAGGTGTGAACATGCTAAGCTTCCAGCTCTTGGGAGCTGCTTTCTCTTTTAAACACTAGACAGGGAATTACTACCACTTGCCTGTCATCACTGGTGTGAAAAGTAGGCGAAATATTTGCTGGTTCAATTAAATAGAAGGAGCCCAAGGTCACTACCCTTCTTTGCAAAACAGGTCCATTCCATTTTAAGTGTTTCCTTTTGTTTCCTGTGAAAAGTGGTGACATGGAAACAATACCGTCTCCCACCGTGAAATTACAGCTTGCTCCAGCCCTTTCATAACAGAAACCCTTGAGGTTTGCACCAAGGGAGCCTGATGAGGTTAGTAATCACTGCAGCACATGGAAAACATTTATACCCTGCGACCTTTTGTAAATAAAGAGTTATTCTGGTTCTGTCTCTAAAGCTGGGGAGATTTACACATACAGCTTTCTCCCAGCACTGGGGGAGGAGAAACTGAGGCAGTAATACCCTGAAAGCCAGGAATTTATTCAAGAAGGGATGCTGAGAGCACTTGAAGGTTCAAAGCTTATGTTATTTTATCTATAGTTTGCACTACAGGAAACAAAGGATGTGATTTTCATTAAACCCTAGCATTTTTAGAGACACAAACTGTATTTTTTTTCAAGTCACACTGACAGTCCTGCAAAAGTCAGGTAACTCTTTGAGAGTTACTACACAAGAGCTGTGTGTACAGCTCTTGGTGATTCACTGCCTGTTACCTGTTGCTGTAGTGGGAGCTGCTCTGAAAGACAGGCTGGAAAGGACCTTCCAGTCTTCTATTTTTAAGACCCCTTCTAAGGTCTTCTGTCCTATTCGCCTTTGGCAGTCACCTCACTCCCACATAGTGACATGACCTCTGGTTAATGACTGATCTCCAAAAGCTGAAGAAATAATTTCTGCCAAGTCTGCCTATGCTAAACGACTTTGGGAAAGAGGTACTTTGTGACTCAGGGTTCCCTCACGTTTGACTAGGGGAATTCCAAACCTTTTCTTCAGTACTTCACATCTTGGGCTACAAGATACCTGGGAAGCAAAAACAGATAATATCCCTTTTCCTTTCTCAGAACAATCTCTACTTTTAATTACCTCTTCCGTTCCCTTGGTAGCAGCACTTCATGGGAGTCCCCTCTTCTGCAGTTGGGAAATTGGGAAACAGAAATATGACACAGTTACCTTAAATTACCAAAAATACTACTTTTATGGAAGAAAATTGAAAATTTGACTTATTCCAGATCTGAAGCAGAGAGAGACACATAGTGAGATTATAGAGGAGTTTTCAGTGACCAAGGCTTACCCATGGCCTTCAGAGAGAAATAATCATGTTACTGCCTTTCCTCCCAGCTTCACAGAAGTTTATATTCTTTAATCTCACACACTGAATCCTCTGTTTGCTTGGGCTTTGGAGATTCAACAACCCCCATGTCCAGTCAGCACAGAGCAGGATTCCCCTGGTACTTGCTGGTTTGATCCTGGCCACAGCCATAAATGACTGCCCTGCCCTGTATACACAACATGTATGTGGATCAGATACAAATTCAAACGTGCAACACAGCTCCACCCCTGCTGTCTGCAGAAGACAAACTCATCCACAGCAATGAAAAGTGCAAAGATAATTCAGTGTTTTCTACTTGATCCCAGGTGATGTGTCTTAGCATCTTTTGGCACATCTCTCCTTGCAGACCTGCCTCACCCCCCAAAAGCTATTGAGATGCTTGTTTTGCTGAGTCCAAGTCTCCTTTTGGTCTCCAAGACTCTTCTACCCATGTTTCCAGAGAGACTAATCAATAGTGTGCACACTGAACTTCTGTAGGGCCCATTGCAGGAGTCCCAGTAGCCCTCTAAAACATTTCACGTTTGTTTTTTGGCCACTCCTTCTCTTTGAATGTGTGACCACCAACAGGCCAATACTGGCTGCACATCTTGCAGACAACATCTGTTGTTCGACCTGGAGCACCATGTCCTTATTTTTATTTGAATGATTCTTCTCCTGTCCCATAGTACACAGGGACCCCCAATGGTTTTGCATTTGAGCTCCATCTGGTGCATCTTGGCTGCATGTAGCAACATCTCAGTGCCCATCCCCATTGTGTAAAGTGCTCCAGCAGGTCAAGACATCACCATGTCCCAGCGCTGACTCATGGCTGTGCTCTCACAAGGGTTGATGACAAGTTCTTTGGTACTCTCATTCGTGTCCCCAATCGTCTCAGTGTCCAAACAGAAGCGTGATGCTATGTGTTCAATGTGTGATCCAACTTTACCCCATCGCTGAGGAGAAACACACACAACAGGAGAAACGGGTGAACAAGCTTCCTCCTCATTATGCTTTAACTACACTGTTGCAGCATCAAGAGGACAGTTGTCATTAAGCCTTTGTGACCTGATGCTGGGAAGTACAGGCTCCCCAAACCCACACTAAGCAGAGCACATGCTGAGCATTTCTCCCATCAGAAGTACACTCATTTAAGCTCAGCCTCTGCCTGGCTTCAAGAAGATAATATATTACTAACAGCTTTTTCCCCAGGTCACTGGTTCAAATGCCAGCTTGATGATTAACTGCAGAGAAATGTTAGCGTCTGCTGGCTGACTGGCAGCCCGTGTGAACTAAATTGCCAGTTTTGGTTTGACTTCTGCAGTTAAGTATCCAGATCACCACCCGCACTAATAGACATCCTTATCAACACACTCATTTAAGAGGCAAAGGGCTGAACAGGCCAGTCTGTACTCCCAGATAGACTGTGCTTCCCAGATGAAGTCAGAGCACATGGGTGGTGTGATGTGCAGTAATATTATGCTGAAAGAAGGGGGACTTCAAAGAAAACAAGGATCTATGAAAAGGCTCACCTGCTTGTTGTCACCTTCTTTGCAGGGTGACAGCAGCACCTGGGAACCGGGGAAGAGGGTGTACACAGACAAGCACAGCTGCTGCTGGCGGACTTGGTGGTTGTATGTGTATGTCCATTCCTGCAAAGAGGAAGAAAAAAACAAAAAGGAGGTAAAAGATCAGGGTTGATTCTTGGTATATTTCTATCTGGAAAGCAAACACTTTGGCTTGGATTCTGCCCCCTCTGAAACCATGCACAAACCTCACTGACTTCAAGAGGCACCAGGACAGGTCACTAGGATGTTTCAAGCCTCCCCAAAACTGCAGCTGCCATTGGCAGACTGCACGTACCAAAGAAAATGTCTACAAAAGCTGCTGGAAGAAAATGGTTCACAAGGCAAAGAATTTCATAGCCAGAACTGGGCAGTGGTTGCGGAACAGGGGGACAGAAAAACAGCAAAAGAGAGGCGGAAATACTACACACAATGTGCAATCCTCTTTTTGTGAGGAAGAGCAGCAGAAATGCTTTGCAGCTGGCAGCAGGAGAGAGGAGACAGGAAATGTTTGCAACTCCCAGTAGTCTGTTCCCAAAGATGTCAAAAAGCAGGGGTAAAGCTCCACTTGGTATCAAAGGAGTGGGACCAAACTCCCAATGTTTGCTGTACTGGTTTGCTATGACCACTTGCTTCCCTGAGATTTTTTTCTCACGCTGCTTTTTGTGTTCACCTGCTCTTTATCAGCTCCTCAGCCCAAGAAATAAACTTTGGAGAAGCAGAGACCCTTTGTCATGTGTAAAGCTTATCATACAACAGGGGCTTTCTGGGATTATCCTCTTTTTCACCCATGGATGTTTTACTTGGGAGAAAAAAAGTAGCAGCTGACAGTTTGACCAGGATCTCCGTATGTGCTGGACAAAGCATCACCCAGGTACAGATAGACTGCTTAGCCCAGGAGTATTTCACGGAAGTTTACTCCAACGTTTACTCCAGTTGAACGTTTTCTATCATACATCTGTGCTCATATTACTCAAAAGCACCTCATGAGGGTATGAGAATGCCCAGGCAAGGGTATTCCCTCCTATTTGTGTGTGTTCACAAGCAGATAAGAGTTGCTTTGGCTTATGGGAAACCACAAACCATGCTTTTACATAAACTTGGAGAGTGACTTCTGGAACAAGTTCTTTGCTTTTAACTTTGTGTGGGCATTAACATTAAAATTAGAAAGAGCAGGGCTGCAAGTGTTTTCTGAGGCCCTCTAGCCAGGGTGCAAAGCAGGATCAACTCCTGCTATGTATGTAAATGGCTCTGAGATAGCAGTGAGGAGAGCAGCAGTGGGAGCAAATGGAAAGCAGGTTGCTGAGCTGTGGCAGGGCAGGTGAGCAGGACTGGAGCAGACCAGCAGTCTGGCTTCACTAGCAGAGAGCAGTAACCACACCGGAGAGAGCAAGGTCAGGGAGCAAGAGGGTTTCCACAACAGTCTCCAAGAGCTAAGGCAAATGCTTTGACAGGGTACAGGCTATGAGAACTGGGAAAGCTGCTGTGAAAGAAAAGGCGCAGAGAGAAAGCAAAACAGTTGAAAGCTCAGATATGGAGGAGTCGGAGCTCTGGGAAGAGTGAAGTGAGCAGGGGTGTTGGCAATGGAGGGGAAGGCAGTGCTCAAACATATGGCAGGTAAAAGGTGCTCCTGGGAGACTGCAACCCTTTCTGAGTGCCGGGAGCCAGGAAATGAAGAATGGCTGCCCTGATCTCAGAGCTGGGACGCCTGCAGCTCCCCCTGACTTTGAATGGTGGAGGCTTTGGGTTGCATTAGCATGAGTTATTAGAGCAGGGAAATGCTTCCACCGCTTTGGTATTTGTCACCGTCAGCAGCTCTAACTCCTCTCCCCAACTTCAAAACAGACAGCTACAGGCATTTAATTCCTGGGAATATAAATCCCACTTCATTCAGGTTCTCAGCCACCTGGAAGGGAAAACACGCTTTTGCACAGCAGACCCAGATCCACAAGGACTTCACACTGTGATCCTCACACCCTGTGCTTCTTAGCCTACTACTTCCCACCAGCTAGTGGAAATCAAACCCATCTTTCTGAAGAGCCTGCCCACAGGCTTCCCAGCAAGAGCTGCCCAGGATTTCAGAACATAACAAGCATTGATTTTCAAAGCCGTAGTCTGCACTCAGAGGGCCCTCTGGCAACTACTTCTTCTTTGTCAGATGGAGCAGAGTTTACCTAATCCTATAGTGAACACATTCCAGACATCCCAACCACGCAGGCTGTCAGCTGCTGTGTAAACCACCAGCCTGGGAAATCAGGTGCCAAATTAGTCCTGCATCTGTGAAGAACCAAGCCCTACAGGGCAAGCTCCAACACCTGTTCTTGGCACCTGTGCTGCTACAAGCTGCTTTGAAAACTTGCTTTACATTTTTAACCAATTGTTGATCATTTTAGCTCAGGACAGGGCTAGAGCTGCACCCATGAGACTCCTCAGCAGCAGCAAGTTAATTCTGTAACTTGTGTATATGTTAAATCCCCCAACTAACTCAGGCCATGGGACTCTTTTTTTTTTTTTTCCCACTTTGACCTCTTAACCTCCTTGCTTCACTGAGGCCCCTCATGGATGACTGCTCCTCCCAGAGGTTCTCCATGCTTTTTTTCCAGGCCAGGCTCTGTTTAAGCCTTCCCAATATTCACATACTCTCAAGGCAGGACCGTTCAGCAAAGCACCATGGGACAGACAGGGTGGTGGTAACCATGTCTCCTATGCTGTTGCTCATCATAAGAAGTGAGGCCTTCAGAGCTAGATATAAGCATCAGTTCGATAGCTGACATTGGATCCTCCCCTCTTGCCCCCAGGCCATCCTGCTACTGTCTTTATCTCAACTGACAGATTTTTCACACAGCTCTTCTATTTTGGCAGAATGGCTTTTCATGGAAGCCAGTCCTGTTGAAAATGTTTTATGCAGTTCTAATCATGTCTCGTCTCTTTGTGGCCCTAGATGAAAGTCAGAGAAAATGATGCAGAAAATGAAGAAATTCTGGGGGGGGTAAAACTCACTTGAACACCACAGAATACAAATGACCATGCAAATTTTTATCTTACCCCATCTCTTCCCTTATTTGTATCAGTTGGGATGAAAATTCCTGCTTTTTTTCCCATGGGAAACTACTTTATCTTCTAAACCCTAGCACACTGGGCACTCATGTGGCCCACACAGCAGTAAAAACAGCACAGCTTTGCACCAGAGGTTGTGGTGGACAGGGCAGCCCAGGGTACTCTTAAAGAAGAGAGGCCTTCTAGGACCTAACATTGCTTCAGGGCTGCACACTAGCCTGAAGAGATGCCAGTGGGGTTTAGAGGTGACCATGGCACCAAGGAAAAACAGACATACCAGGTGAAACTGAGATCAAGTTTTCCTGCCTTTTCAAAGACAAAGATGAAGTAGTGGTGGAGCAACAAGGAAGAAGGTGGACTGGGAGAGCAGAACTACCAGGTGCACACCACAACCAGCAATCCCCTTCCTCTAAAGTCTCGGATAACACTAACCCCCATCTGAGGCTTGTGACTATTTTTCAAGGCTTTAGCATCATTTGAGCAGGCACTTGTCACTGTTACTCAGCATCACTGTGAACTGAGGAAATTATTTTAAAATGTGACCTTTGGCTTGGCATAGCCTGACTGGCAGAAGGAGAAAGGGGCCCCGCAGCCTAGCAAGGAGCAGCCCCATGGGAGCCCAGCATTACGTGACAGAGCTGTACATGCTCTGCTGCTGAGCAAGAGGTCAGCTGTACCCTAAAGCCGGGGTAGCAGCTAGAGAAAAATGTTTCTGAAGAAGCCCAGAACAATGTCAGCCCTCAATTATCTTTTTAAAATCACAGGGAAGGATTTCCCAAGGCATGCAACTGCATGGGTCACCTAAGGATACCAAAGTGCTTCCCTCATCAAAAGGCCCTGGGATGCAACTAGCACCTACACACATCTCAGGAGAGGGAAAGCAAAGTACAGAAGATGCCCACGGCAGCCCGGGTGCAGAGGTAACACTGCTGCCAGCCAGCCCCTCTGCTCTGCCAGCTCAGCCTGGCTCCTGCAGCTCCAACCAGCCTACAGCTGGGGCAGGATGTGCCTACAGAGGAGAAGAACAAAGACTTTCTAGGGGAGGAAGGTTAGAAGAGAATTTTTATGGTTGAGGTACACTGTCAGGTTAGTTTGGATAGATGCTAAATATTCTCCAAAGAAAGTGCAGATCTAGTCAGCCGACAGAGGTCCTCAAGCCAGCTGGGATAAGCTTCACTGCCACATCAGGCAGATCATCACATTGAATTTCCTTCACAAGAGTCAAGGACATGCCACCCAAATGCAATGGCAGTCAGTCAGCTCCAAGACCCAGATATTTTGGGGTGCAGGCCAGGAAAACAGATGCTGCAACCTTCTCACTATTTCCTCGCTTGTCTAGGAGATGACTAATTTTACATTCATCTTGCAGCCACTATTTACATGTGTGTGAGTATCCAGGCTGAAGCGTCTTCTGCTTTTTTTTATCTGAAGTATGTCAGGTTTCAAGGAACTCCTAATGATTAATGGTTTATTAACTAAATCCCAGAGTCAGATGTCTATTCCAGAGATCAACTGACACTTAGTTTGAAAAGAAAACCAATCAATCACTCACATCTCCATCAGACAGATCAGGGCAAAATTATGATCAATTATTTTCCCTCATGCATTTCTCTTGTGAAAAACTAAGTCAATCAGTTCATTTAGCAAATGAGACACAATAAGACAAAGAGTACCAAGGCTCCGGTGGGCAGGAGCACAGGCAGAGCCCATTGTGCCCTGGGGATGGGCAGCACTGCATAAAGATCTCTGCCAGTCACTATCTCAAAAGCAGGTCCCTCTGAGAGCCACCCCAGGGGACAGAGCCTGCCCTGGCTCACACCAGACCTTTCGGAGAGGGAAGGGACAAGTGGATCCCAGGGATGAGAAGACAGAGCTCTCCCACACAAAGATGAGGGGTCTTCTTGTGTCTCGGTGCCCCTTTTAGTAATTTACAACTAACACCAGACACCACAGGGAAGGTCTGTGAGATCTGCTAGGGGTGTAAATCTGATTTCACCACAGTCAGAATACTCTTCTCAATCTACCCAAACCATGGATGTGGCCAGAGGGCTCACAACATCCTTCCCTTGCACCACAGACAGGAAAAAAATAAAATAAAGAGCAATTAATTGCCATCTGACAGCTCCTATTCTTACTTCCTCAAACCACAGTGATCTATGACAGCTCAGATCTTCTCACACCTGGTCCCAGGACTTCATGTACGTAATGTTGGTAAAGGGCTTGGGGAACCTAGTAGAGACAGCTACAGAAAGGCAATCAAGCAAAAAAAATGATGCTGCTAACATTGATAATAAAGGATCTGGATGGCTAGAATATTTCCATAGTACTTACTGAATGCTAGGAAAGCACAGCTTTGATTTAGCTAAGCCTGCATTTCAAACAATGAAGCTTAGGGTAAACAAGATATGACTTCAGTATGTCAAAAGTGAAGACTATTGCTCTATTCTGGTATACCAAACACAAAACTAAGTGGCATTCAGGACTGCTGCATAATCTATCCTACACAGCCTGGTGACTATAACCCCCATGTCATCCACAAGTTCAGGTGGTCTTGCAACAAATGTGTAATTAAAATACAAGTTTCTATTCACAATGAAAATTTAAACATCCTGCTTTCATCTGAAATATTCTCCATAGGTACAAATAACAGAGAACTATCCTAGAAAGACAGAGAAAGATAAAAGCAAAATGTTTTTCTCTATTCCTGCCTGTCTATTGAGTGCAGCTATTCAGCAACCTGTTTGTAGTGCATTTTTCTGTTCTCCTGCAGAGTTAGTCCTGGATATGCACAAGAAATAGAGTTGCCATCCAGTGGGAAGCACTGACCTATTGCAAACTGCTGCAGAATCAGAATCGGAAGATGAAAAGTTTGTGGCATGAAAAATTCAAAAAAAATTAACTCCACAGAAATGTCAAAACAAAATGTGTTTGATGGGAATGAAACAATCCAACTTGTTGGCGTGACACTTCTCATTTTAAAATACCACATCAAATGGGTATTTCAGAAAGACCAATGCCATTTCATTTTGAACTGCTAGCTTGCAGCAGCATTTCCCATTCTGATTTTCCCAGATTTTTTAAAAAACATCCAACTCATTGAAAGTCACATTTATCACTAAAACATTCTTTTTTTCCTTCAGCAGAGCTGACCCCACAAAACATGATGATCTGCTCTCATCACCTCACTTCTCTTGCTGTTTATGTAAAAAGTCCATGCAGCAGAGGAAGAAAAAGAATTCTAAAAGCTGGAAACCAGTTAAACCATAAGAACTGTAACCATGCAGTACTTGCAGTCACATTCACTGTATTTTCTGAACTGACTAAAATTCAAGCAGTCATTGTTGATTGTACCAGACTGTGAAGCAGATATTATTTTCCTGACTGAAGGCAGTCATGCAACTGCATGTGAAAGAGATGCACATAATGACATGCATTATTTGCACATACAAACTAGGGACGCTTCCAGCAGCATCTTCAGGCTGTGCCTTTTATATGCATAGCTACCTGGTTTGCATGTGTAACCATGAGTTTAGGATGTACAGCCAAGTGGAAGCAAGCACACCATTGCCTATTAAATGACTTCATGGCACCCCAAAGAAGTGAGTGATTGTTATCCTCCCTGTTTTATAAATGGGAAGAGTGAGAGAACCTCCTGACATGCCCAAAATCACAAAGGGAGCCTGAAGCAAAGGCAGGTTTTGAAGCCGTGTCTTCAGGGTCTTGCTCCAGTGACTGCACTGCAAGGCACATGTGCCTGCTCTTGGCTCTAATGTTTCAGAGAAAGTGCTTTTCAGAACACTGATTCATATGGCTTTTTCTCGTCTCAGTGAGATTGAAAAAAAATGAGATCATGCTCATTAAATTCTCACTAGTTTAATGGGCAATCTAATATTGAGAGAATGCAGACTACAAAGTTATAAATACCATTGCAATTCAGTGCATTTTGAAAGAAATAAGCATGAAAGATGAGAGGAAATTATAGTTCTCTTTGTCTTCCTCTGATCTCTGCAGATGAACGGCGCGTGGCGTTCCTGAGCAGCAGTAAGTGCTCAGCGCAGGCTGGCTGTACTGTGGCTCCTGCACCAGTCCCTGCTGCTGCCCAGGGTCTCCACAGGGGTAAGAAGGTTATCTCCACAGAGGTAACCAGGGTTTACCTACATGCTACCTTAGGAAAGGGGCTGGTAGAATGAGTAATCCTCCAATAATGCTTTAGCAAACTTAGGAAATCACCTTGAACCTGCCCCGGAGCCTTCTCTCCAGCTGGCACCACAGGGATAGGCAACACATCTTACCTGTGCCGTTGCTGCTGTGCCTTTGCTGGTGATGCAAGGATTTAAGCTCAGGACAGGGAACTCTTGGGCTTCAGACTTGTGTGACTCCAGGCAGCTCTGCCTTTGCCTGATCATCCCAGTCTGATACAGCGATTCCTCGGGAATCCTGCGGGAACAGCATGAAAACAACAACCCTCCTCCCCCAGGCATACAGAGTACTCAAATGGAGGCTCAGTGGGGTAAGGAGGGTGCAGTCACACCATTTCACCTTCAGAAAATGAGAGTGACAAGATCTATTACAATACTGAATCACTGAGAGTAGTACTTGGACAGGGATGCTGCAGAAGCAGCACTCAGAGATAGATGGCTGGCCTTTGTCAGAGGAAAAAATAAATACGACTGCACAAGGCAAACAGTGGAGCAAGGAATAGACTGTGAGCAGGCTGAAGGTCAGCCTTCAGCTTACAGGAGTGGGGAACTTTATAACAAACCACCACAGAGCCCTGGCATTCCCTTTGAATGCTGCTGTGCAATGCCACACATGGTAAAAAAGCAAGAAAACAGCTATAAATCATTTTCACCCCGTGATTCTGCACGCAGCCATTGCACCAGCAGGTCCCTGGAAGTACCTCCAAAACTTTTTCACCCTTTCTGAGAATGGCTCCTGAGAGTGACTGAGGGAATGGATGCAACGGTTTCTGGAGTAATTTTAACGCCTGAAAGGGATCTGCGCAAAAGCAACTGTGGAAGTGCATATTAAGAAAAGCATAAGGCTAGGATTAAGGCAGAGCCACCTGAATAAAGGTCATGAACTCCTAGAGTGGATGGTTTCACAACAGAGAAGTCTTGAGTATCACAGAACAATGTGAAAGGACCAGAAATTAGGTGCTTGTTTTGTCAGCAAGAGTCATTAAGTACTGAAACAACCCACCAGAGCCTACAGTGGATTTTCCACCTTGGGATACTTTTGTAAGGAAAACTGGCTATTTCTCTATACAGCTGTCCCACAGCATGGGCAGGAGGATACCTGAGGAAGCCCCAAGAGCTAAGAGATGTAACTGGTGCTTTGCTCCTCACCAGCCCTGCAGCAAAGAGCCACAGAGTCTGTCAGACTGCTTAGAGAAAGCAGGATGATGAATGAACCACATCACACTGTGAGCAAGCTGTGTTTAAAGCCAGCACCAAATTCACTATGCCCTTCTGTGATGCCCAAGGGAGAGGGTGCCTGTGTCTCTGGGGCAGGGAGAGGTGCGGGGACTGGAGGTGCAGAGGACAGGTCTGTGAGGCAGGAGGTATGGGGTATCCCACTGGCCTGCTAGACAGGTGGAGATTGCGTCTCCATACCGAAGTTCAGGATAAACGTTTTCCAGGTACCACTTGAAGCTGTGGCATTTCAGCCTCTTCCGCAGCTCCACTCTGCTCTGGACACTGTGGAAAGAAAATATCATAGAGATACAACAGAAATCATTACGGTGAGACCAAATGCACCAAAAGAGGGAGCCTGAGAGAAACCCAACAGATATGCATAGCCAGTAAACACAAGAGCATCAGCAGCTCTATTTTCTGGTCTCTTCTGCATAAGCTTGGGCAGTCATTTTATCTCCGTCTCTTTGGAGGTGTCACTTGGTAAAATGGCATGATGGCACATGGCCATTTTAACAAGGACCCTGGAGTTTGGTGGATGAAAAGATTCATGGAAAAGTACAGTAATTTAAAAATTACTAGTAAAAAAATGTATGCTATCTACCATATGCAATAAACATTAATTTAATATACTAATGTACTAGGAAATTAATATATGCTATTATAACTTACTCTTAGTTTACACGACTACAGAAGGCCTTGATTTCTAAGAGCACCTAAACACACCTTTAAGTCAGCAGAAGTTAATCACATAGTGAAATACTTCTTTCTTTCATTAACCAGGGCAAAATTTCTGCTGAGGGATCATGCTGTATAGTGACATTTTCCAAGCTCCAGCTCCTCCCTGGACCAGCCTCTCCCCATGGAGCTGGCATTTAGAGAGCAGTAGAAAGCCTCCAGTACCTTCCCTTTGCATAGGCTATCTTCTCTACAGCCTCCTATATTTAGCAGGACAGAGCTGTTACTTCATTTGGTGCTGATGGATGGGATGAGGATATGAATTCAGTGGAAATAGGTTAATCATCAGGACTTCAATTTATTTATCCTGGAGATTGAAGAACAGCCACAAGTAATTTGGGTTTGAATTTGGAACCCCCTGTGGTCCAAAGGAAACTTTCTAAGGAAAGGAAAAACATGAAAATGAGAAACTAACACAAATACTTACAGTCCTCCTGACAGGGAGGCATTTCTGACCATTCACAGGATGAACGGCAAACTCTCTGCATACAAAGCCCTCGTGCCTTTCCAATAAGGCCTCAGTAGTCCCCAAATCTGGTGATTTTCCTGCCCCTCAGCTGCCAGTGAGACCTCTGGACTCTCTCTGCCAAACTCCATTCTGGGACCAGAAGTACTTGTACGTAACGCCAAGAGCAGGACATAGGCAGAGGGGGTTTTCTCCCACCTCGATTCGATTCGTTCACTGGGATAAACTAGCACAGCATATAAACTAGCTGTTTAGCTGTTTCATTGCAGTGCTCATAGCATCTGCCTACCATCAGCATTTAACTGAGCGTTACTACAGAAACAATGCAGGCGGGTTTCCGCAGCAGGGAGACGTCACTGTGAATACTCACTGCAGCAGGCAAGGCACAGGCAGGGCACAGGCAGCAGAGAAAGACACTTACTTTCCATAAGGCCTCCCTTGGGCTGCGGGACGAGCAGCGTAGTAGTACTGCTTAAATTCATCCATCCACACCTCCGCGGTGCGCTTGGTGTTTCTGAAGGAGGCAACAAAAGAGAGATGAAAACAAGGAAGCCTCCAAGGTGACAATTTCTAAAATGCATCAACTAATCCATCCTGCTCTCCTCCCATCCTCAATTTGGTCTTTGGCTTCACCCAAACCACCTTTGAGCCAGCCCACCCCTCACTACTAGAGAAGGTCCTCCTCCTCCCCATTAATCCAGGGACCAAACACAACAGGCCAAAGCTTGGGTGAAGAATTCACCATTTCAAACTCAGTGGGATGCTGTGCATCCACCAGACTCAGGACTGAAGCTTCTCTAAGCATCATGTCCCAGGCAGGTGTGCCTGAGGTTTTATTTAGTAGCTGGGATGGAGTTCTGAAAAGTGGTGCAAAATTTGCCAAAGACTGAAGGCAAATATCTCCTTTGTGTCAATCCTGTATGGACTTTCCTGTTTTGCACTCCTGGATTTCACTGAGGCAAATTTTAACATTCAAAACTTAAGAGAAACTACCTCGGCCACAGTGCTGTGGCATAAATGTCAGACTTCCACATTAGCCAGGTGTCTGTAGAAGGTTTATGAACCTCAGAAAACCTTCTGTTGACTTCAGATCGTTCTAACTCTCCTTGTAAATGGCTCTGTTGCTCCTTGCCTACCCGCCTATCCCTGACTCAGTCAGGGGAGTCCTCCAAGCTCCTGCTCCAAGACAGACCAGTGCCTCCAAGCTATTGCTATCATGCCACTGGGCTGCGTTTGCCGCGGGGCAGGCTCTGATCCAGCAAAGTCTCACATGGCAAGAACAGGAGACCGTTTGCATGTGAACCCAGCACAACACTGGAGCCTGAGCTGTCTCTTGCACTGAAGGAGAGGCTGTGTGGAAAAAAAATCAATATCTGGCAGAAAGGTGGAGATATTTTTGCTAACATCTATGTTTAAACAGAGGTACCACATAGCATCAGGTTGCCAGAAGTTGCCTCTCCTCTCAGTCTACATACTACAACATTAAGTTTAAGGCTGATAGAGACCATAAGGTTAATAAAAACTCAGCTTCTAATGCTTACAGATATGTTTCTCCAGACTGCTTTTCAGTCCCTTGCTCATTCATTGTGCTTCTTCCTCTTGCCTTCCCCAAAGTGCAGAGTTTTTTGGTTTGGCTTCCTTATCTTGTTTGGGTTTATAAGAAACATGGGATAAATGCCACACCTAGGCATTGATTCAGACCTCCCCAAACTTCCCAGACGCCTGTGCCTGAGGTGCAGCCAGAAGAGTGGTACACATTCAAGCTCCCCTTGCTCCTCCTGCAGGTGATGCAACGCAGACGCTACCTTTTTGCTCAGGTTTGCAGCGACTCTGACAGTGGAGATTTTGCCACATCCCAGCCTCTTCTATAGGAGTCATTTCACTACTAAAAGCAAGAGCCCTCCTCATGAGTCTCAAATTTGTGCCCTCCTCCTTCATGTCAGCAATGCCCTGTGCCCCTCACCACCATCTTTTTGAAGCAAGATGACAAAGTCCCCTTCCTGCCCCACATGCTGCGTGGCTGGAAATCATGTATTAGATATAACCAGGAGAAGTCAGTTTTCATGCCCGCAGTTCATCGTCTCATGCAAAGCGTGGGGAAGCTGCAGAGAGCCCGGGTCAGTGGTAACCCTGCTGCAAGTGGCTGGGTCTGCACAAATCCTGCTGGCTCTTTATAACACCGGGGAAGCCACACTAAAAGGAATGCCTGGTGTGTAAACACACTCGAAGGCAGTTTAGCTGAGAAACAATCCTGCATTAAGTATAAGTGCCCTGGGCATTTTTCTCTGTCATTTACTTAATCGACAACCTTCAGCTTCATGCTCTAAAAGAGAAGGAAATCCTTCCTGATTTCACTAGCTGCTCCCATCACCTTTCTGATGCTGATTCCTGCTTCTGGACCACCTCGCTCCTTTCCTGCTGTTTCCAGGATCTTGGCCCATTTCAGCCAGACGTTTCAGTACCTGATTCGGTCCCTGTTCCTTCATGTAAGGACAGATCCCCTTCAGCTGGGATGTCCTGGCAGCTCCCTCAGTGCCCCCACCAGTGAGGCATGGCCCATTGTGGCCCCTGCTTGAGAGGCAGCACCAGCCCGGAGGCAAAGCTGCCTGCTCCAGCACACTGCTCAGCTCCTCTCTCCAAGAGGCATCACAAACCAAATTTTCTGGTTCAGCTGAGCCACGCTCAGCCCTCAGCTAAGGTCTCTGGTTACTGACAGACATTGCTGGCAGCCTGACTTCAGGTCATTGTAAATGTGTTCTGACGACCTTAGGGTCTAAACCATTTGCTGTTACAGTAGCTAGTGCTCAGGGAGATGCTGGGGTCATCCCTCCATTTCCATGCTGATGAAAGGTATCGTCTAAGTGTCCTATTACTGTCATATTCTCAACACTGTAGAAATCCTACAGAAGAGCCATACTGACTTGCATTTTCTTTGGCTCAGGAGATTCCTGCCCAGGGATATTTCAAAGTTTTCCAAACAAACTTTACTCTTCTTCGCTGCTCCCCCCTCCCCACAAGGCAGCACCTTATTCCGCTTCACAAAAGCTAAGCAAGCACAAAATACCTACTTAATGTATGTATTGGCATTTCCCTCTGGAAAGATGTACGGATGTTTCTTCCGGAAGACATGTCCAACACGGCTGCAGGGGATGATTTCCAGGCTCCCTCCACACATCCACACACGGAAAGAGATTTCTACAAGAAAAGCAGCTTCAGCATTTTGTCTTTCTATCCTACAGCAGGCTGGATCCTGGTGTTACCTCTCGCTTCATCCTCTGCCACACTGAACTGGGGTAAATCAATCACCAGAAGGGCTTTCCTAGGCACAACTCCCTCAAAAGTGCATTTCAGAGCTTCTTGCCATCTGTTTGAAGTCAGTGCACTTGAAACCTGCCTATAGCACAGCAGGTGCTAACACAATGGCGAGAACAAGATGATAAGTAGGTCCCTTTTCATGCAGCCCCACTTACATCACAGAATCATCTTGCCAGTTTTGTGCTCCCATAATTACTTCTGCACTGCCTATTTCAGAGTCACTTCCCTCCAAAGGGCTGTTAAGTTCACCAGGAGAGGCCATGAATTCTGTTTGTTAGTGACTACGACTGTCATTATCTTTATGAATCCACCAGTGATTCTGCAAAGTGAGCGAGCTGTGCATCCATCACCTGTCCCAAAATGGATATGAGCTTACCCTGCCCAGCACGTACTCCAGGCCATGAGTGCCACGTGGTGATCCAACAAGGCATGCACCTTTGCACAAACAAAGGTCAGTGGTGGGAGGGATTATCCCCAAAAAATCTGCATAAGCTGTCAGTATGGGAAATGTCTCCCAGTTGCCCCAAGCTGCTCTCTGGCTGGTCCACAGGGCCCTTCTGGAAGAAAATGAGCTGGTGGCACAATTGACACCAGAAGTTATGGGGCTCTTGGCAGGGAGCTGGATGAAATCCTAGCTGGCGAGGTAGGACGGGTGAGCAGAATGGCTGATCTAATGGGTCCATCTGGTCCTAACGCCTGTGAAGCTATGAATCTGCAGCTATATTGTCAGAAAGTCATGCTTAGACAGAACCAGCATGGAAATGAAATTAAATTAAAAAGAAAAGGCTTCTGCAGTTCTTTGCATCCTATTTTATCATCTGTTGACAGTATAGAGCTACACTTAGTATATATTTACTCCAAAACTACAAATTCCTTTTCACTCCCCCCACCTTTGACTACAGAAGTCAGACAGGAGGCCACCCATTGTCTTTGCCAGCTTGTGCTCGCAGCAGTCCACTCACATACCACAGCACAAGGATGACTTTCCCCAGGTTGGATGTTGGCAAGACAAGTGCCTGTGGCAGGAAGGCCATTTGGGCAGTAGGGACAGGAGTCCTCTTCCTCCTCCTCCACTGCCAGCCCACAAAGCTGTCACCCCTCTGAAAACAACTCACAGATTTGAGGACCGAAGGAGAATTGGAACCCAGACCTCCAAAGCCACCTACTCTCAGGACACATGGCTCAGCCATGAGGTGCACGTCACTGCAGAGATGGGAGCCACCTTCCTGTCACTCCCATCCTGGCTCCCAGCACACCTGCCTGCTCCTGAGCTGATGGAAACGGGAGGCTGGCATAGCCACAAAGCCCTCTCACCTTGACTCTTGAGCCCACCCTCAACAGCTGGCCCTGGCAGCAGGAGCCAGCAAAGGCTGGAGCAGGAAAGCACAGCAGGGAGAAGTATTTTTTCCCAGAAATTCCCTCCCCTTCCCTTCACTGTGGTGTTTACAGGCAAGAGCTGCAACAGCAGCTGGAGCCTCACCACTTTCCCCAGCACCGGGTATTAACAGGCCAATAAAACTTGCCCTTGTGCCATGTCCTGGTGCTATATTGGGAGCAACCTTAATCACAGCTGCAGGGAAATGAGATTACAGCAGGATGTGGCCGCTCTAAGCTGCTGCACTCAGTTCCCCTCGCACGTGGCTGTTGCTCTCATTTGCCTGTGTGTCACAGCGCCGGCCACGCTGCCAGCGCTGCTGTGTAAATCAGAAGGGCGACTGATAAAGGGGGCAATCCGCTGAGCAGCTGTGAACCACAGCGTGGCTGCTATGTCACGCCTTCCCCTCCTCTGGTCCTTCTGCTCAGCTGGGAGAAGAGCAGCTCCCTGAAGCGCTAAAAGGGAATCACTTGCACTGTTCAGTCCTTGTCTGCTCTTAATTTAAAGCCTAATGAGGAGGTGGGCTGAGGTGATCTCTGTGCAGCATGAACTGGAATGAGAACAGAGCGCTGGGGAGGCAGGAGGTGGTGAGGAGTCTGAGCTCTCCACTTTAGACGTGTTGCACCCTGCAGACCCTGCTCCAGTCCCAGCGGGAACAATTAAAGCACAGGTTTCGGCAGGTAGGGATGACTCACAGAGCCATCCCTGGCAGCTAACAAACAAGGCCTTCAGACAGGCAGCCAAGAACTAAATGCCCCAGGAGGAGGTAAACTGAGGCACCAGTGAAGGCATGGCATGGCACCAGCTCAGAGGAATCAGAGGAGCAAGAACCAACAGTGTGCTTCACCTGACCCTTAAGAGATGTCTCCCGTGTGGGTGGCCCCTCCAAGTGACCCCCAGGAGAGATGTGAGCAGTACACGTTGCGGTGCACTGGGCCTGGCCTTAGCTTGGCAAAATACCTTTAGTGCTTCTTGCTGGCCTGCAAGTCCTTCTGCCATTACTCATCAATTCACTTACAGGGGATTAAATAAATTTAAGAAATAAAACATCTACAATGTCCACTTTCTAACCCAAACACACTTGTTTTTGTTTTGCCTGAAGTCTCCAGCCCCCTCTAGCTGGTCAGTCAATAACATTAAAGGCAGCAGCAATGCTGCCCAGAACCAGAGTCCTGCATCCCCTCAGGACTAAGCTACCAGAAAAAGCAGATTCACCGCAAGTGCCCAAAAGCAGCAGTTGCTCGGTCAGCTCCTGCTCTCTGTCACCTGCCCAGAAGTGACCAGAGCCAGCAGGGTACACAGTTGCCCTTGTCTGTGTGCGAAGGAGAGGCAGGACATGCTGCCCTCGACTGCTGCGCCTGCAGGAGACACAGCTTTGAGCCAGGCATGCTTCTGTTCTCAGGGCGATGGGCAAGACAGGATCTGCCCTGCTGCTATGCAGACCTGCACTTTTGTATGGCCGTGTTAACCTGCCTGGCTTCCCTTTGTCTCACTGATGCCCTGAGGCAGCGATACACCCTGCAGCACAGCCAGCGCATGTTCAGTTGGGACCAGCCTTCCAGGGCACAGCATCAGTAAGGGAAACATGGCACTCCCTGGGATGGGCCATGACCACATACGTGAAACACCACGCTCCATAGGATGGGCCATGACCACGTGTAAGGAGCGCAATGCCCGACACTGCTGCCGGGATGGAGCTTCCCCAGAGGGCAGGCTGCCCCATCACTGTTCATCTCCCAGGAGCAGCTTGGGCTGGCCGCTGTCAGAGATGAGTGACAAGCAGAAACAGACAGCAGGTCAGGCACGGCATGGCAGTCCCTCTCCTCCTGTCTAGTTCCCTTCTTGAATGCTCTGTTGGGGCCATTGATCCAGTGGGGGAGGTGGGAGGGCTGTTGCTCCCTTCTTCGGTTTCCTCAGTCACCCCACTCAGAGAAGCAGATGTTTTCAGTCAGCCTGGTGGCAAGACAGCCACTCACAGAGAGAAAGCACAAAGGAGCAAGATCCTACTGCATAACGAGAGATCAATAAATAAAATATGCTAGAGGAAAAAGGCATGTGAAGGAAACAGCAGTGCCAGGCAGCGGATGGGTTACTGCAAGGCGGCAGCATCTGTTCCCTTGGATGACTGACAGCACCACCGTATGTGTTAAGACACAAGATCCTTCCTTCCTTGCTAGCCATACTCCCCAGAGGTGTAAGCTATTAAAGCCAGGTTCTGATCTGTCTCCCTGACATCAAGTGCCTCCCCCTTCTTTCACGGATACAGTCTATTGCTCTGATCTGCAGCATCACTACGGCTTCAAAGAGAGAACAGCCCAGCCTCCACTTGACATGGGGGACAAGGGACACGCTGTTACCTCTTTCATGTGCCCTCTCAAGTTTGCATGCAGGAGAGTTCTTAATGCCCATTTTGCCCTGTGATAATGGGCAGAGGTGACTGAATTTAGATCAGCTCTTAACTTTTTTATTTTGGTGCAGGAAAAATGACAGCGTCAAGGAGATCCTGGCAGTGCTCAGCCATCTAACGACAGAGGAATGGATAAGCTGCCATGTTACTTTGCCATCTTGCAGCATGCCGATAGGACTACTGTTTCAGGCACTCTGCAAATTCAGGGAGGCACCGATGCCTCAGTTCATAGCTTCAAAATGCTGTCATCAGACAATGCAATACAACACATCTTTGCTTTATTAATGAGAAAATAAGATCAGGAAGGAACAGGAGGGTGTTTTCACCAAAAAACAACAGGATGGTGTTTTCACCAAAGCTGAAAACTCTGCATTTTAGGGTATTTGCCTTTAGAGAAGCAAAGCAGCACGGAAGTCGTGAGTACCAACAACTGCTCACTTCCCATCATTCACGGTTGTTGGATCCCTTACTCACCTGAGACTGTAACCTATGAATGTAACTGAGGGAAACTATGCAGAACCTTCAAAGCAAAGTGCAAAATGACAGTGCATCCATCTGGCATGACTCAGCAAGAGAAGCCAACGCAGCAAGGCATAGGAGGAAGAAGAGTGACTCACCAAAGTTCTCACCACCCCAGATGTCCATGGCACTGTCGTACTTCCCCAGCTGGTTGAACCAGGCTTTGTCGATCACAAACAGCCCCCCGGCAATGATGGGAGTCCTGCAGAACGCGTAAGGGAAGAGGTCTCACTTTCAAACACTGCTGCGGCATGTCGATGCAACAGAAGCAGCCCTTCCTTTTGCCTCCTCTTCCATTGGCAGGACATTACCTATGTATCTCCTTCTCAACAAGCAAGTTCTACACACCTCAAAAAGCATGTGAGCCTTTCTTTCAGCTGCCTTGGTATTTTGCTGTCAGTCATAAATTGCCTGGCACTTAATGACTGGCTAATGCACCCATCAGCACAACTCCTACAAGCCCAAAGTTCACAGCCCTGATTGTAGGCTTCAGCATCAAAAATGCATTTAGCGCTCGGGGGGTTATTCACTCAGATGGGCTTTTTGCCTGGAGCCAGCCTACTAAGAGCACCATTCCACTGGGGAGGGAAAGGCAGAGCCAATTCAGAAGGGCTTTTTAAAAGCCATCACTAGCTGTGTGATCTTTATTTTAAAACAGGGTTGTTTTTCATTCTTTGGATTAGCTAAGAAAACTGCACAGAGAAGGTCTGTGGAGGAGAGGAGGGCAGACTCAGAAGATAGCTTGAGGAGACTCACCTTTTGCTGGCACAAGTCCCCTCTCCATTCAATTACAGACAGTGTGGATGCCTTAGCGTAGGCTTGGGAGGACCTGGGGTGACTACTGCACCCAGGCTAGTCTCCACAGTGCCCTACACAGGAGGATGACCAAGAATGCAAGGAGAGCCTTTGGAAAGCCAGCGAGAGCTCCTGTTAACAGCAACCCAAGGAGAAGCAGTGCTTTGCTCCCCTGCAAGCTTTCTGAAGCCCTGAGCTTGCCCCAACACTTGGTCTCCTCCATGCCGCACACCTCAGTGCTTCACAGCTGGGGATGCAGGCACCAGCACTAGGCTTGCTGCCAGGAGAGATTTTTTAGAAAAATGAAGGACTCCCTCCATTCCACGGCATAAGGACAGATGGCATCTCTCCCATTCAGTTTCACTATCTCTCCTGCACATCCTGAATTTCTGAGGAGCCTTCATCAAAGTCCAGAAGAGCAGCGCTGATCTGGAAAGGCTGGACTAGACACCACATTTTTATCAAGTGGGCTAAGGACACTGCCTTAGTTTTAAGTGAAAGCTGAGCTGAGAGAAGCAGGAGTCTAGAGCACTGGGCTTTTCCCCTAACCATATTCAGCCTCCTTAGCACTACCAAAACTCAAATAACCAAACACAAATAACCATAAATATACCCCTTCTACATTTGTAGCACCCTCAGGCTTCAGCGTTGGGAGGTGAAGCTGTACCACAAAACCCAAGCTAGCTAGGAGCTTGCTATAGATATTAGAAGTTCAGAGCTGTCCTGGAAGGAATATCACACTGCTATGGTGCATGGTGACACAATGAGGTCAGATGAGCTGC